GTTTGATGCTATTTATTATACATTTATACGAAAAGAACACGATCATCAGGAGGACTCATCTTTATGCAAATATAATTATACAAACAAACAAGAAACAGTAAACAAAAAATGGTAATACATATTCACAAAAAATACTGCTATGTTACGATGCAATAATTACGTCTCGACAGCAAATGTTATTTGTAGGTATTAATACCGTACAGGTATTAGAAATATGAAATTATTTTAACTCGACCGATCAATCGGAACGTGGTTAAAATAAGGTTAAATTTAATTCTTAGGTTAATTTCATTTAGCAAAGTAAACTTAGCAATTCAAGAATAATATCCAGCCGCGTTGTTCTGCAAGTTGAAAACGGAGAGAACTGATTTAACCGACCCTTATTTTATTTTCACTATGTCCTGAACTTTTCGCACATGCTCAGAGCTTCTTGGCCGAAAACTCGAAATTTTAGTGCCGTCAGTCGCCAGTCAGCCAGTTGCAGCGCTACCTGCGTAACGCGGTGACAAGAACGCCCATATGATTGCCACCTCTCTTATTTTACTTTCTCTATGGTACTGACCATAGAGTAAGTAAAATAAGAGAGTTGTTAATGTCAATTTACGAAGCATCTAAGAAAATCACAGAATGGTTGAAGATGAACAGCCTAACATTATCGATCGACAAATGTGAAGCAATTTGGTTCAAGAAAGGACGCAGACAAAATCAGGGCGCGGATCTTCAATTTGACAAGTATACATTTCACGTTAAAACAGAAATTAAATACTTAGGTATGATAATTGACCACAATTTGAAATGAAACAAACACATGGAACACACGCTGACTAAAGCACGCAGGGGCTTAAATGTAATTAAAATTTTCTGTAGAATTTGGTGGGGAGCTGACTCAATAATATATAATTATGGCCATCAACGGGCTAATAAAATCCTATCTAGACTACGGGTCTCTCTTTTTTAATCCGAACATTCGGGCGTGGCTCAACAAACTAGACATCATACACCGGCATAGTTTAAGAATTGCGCTTGGATGCATGCGTTCAACACCTAGTTATGCATTAATGGCTGAAGCAGCAGAAATGGATTTGGAGCACAGAAGAAAATATCTTGCCGTTAAGCATATGCACAAATTTGTACCTATAAATGAACACATCACATTGGCTCCCCTCTCTGCCATCAGTGAACATCATATTTACAACACAAGTACCAATAGAAACAATACAGACCTTCCATACTTGGCACAAGCGCTGGATCTGTGGCTCCCGTATTGCCAAAATACCAAATCATATAGATTTAATAATAATATTATTCCAGGACTTTCAGATCAAATTAAACGAGTAGGTAGAAAAATTAATACCTATTAGGACTATCTTCAAAGCTGAAAATACAATTAGAAGCAAAATTTCAGTAACAAAACCTCATGACAAAATTGAAAATACAAAAATGTAATTTATAAACTTCCTTGCGAATGCAACAAATTTTAGATAGGAGACACCTCAAGACCATTACATAAAAGAATCAAAAAACACCAATCATACATAAAAACAGAGAATATCATAGGTCCCATATTTGTCAACATGCATTTGATAATTGCCACAAAATTTAATGGAATATGTAATTCTACAATTTTAGCAAAGGAACCATCTACAAAAAAAAGGTAAAATTAAAGAAAGCGCATTAATTTTACTAAATCAAAATAATTGTGTTGATTTTTTTAGGTTCATTTATGTTCTTTTGATAACGATAGCAGAAAATAGCTATCAAAACGTCAAGGTAATTTTTCATTTCTTTACTAATTGGAATTTTCTGATAGCTTGAGTTTAATTAAGTGTGTCGCACGATACCCTCTAAGTGATAGTTCTCGATTACTTTTTGATAAATAATTCGTTCTTATTGTGAAATATGAGCACTATTTATCAATCTGTAATAAAAGACGTGAGGAAATTCTGTCTTTGAAAAAGTTTTGAGGCGAAATACCCAACAAGCAGTTCGTAAAAAACGAAATTAGGGGTTAGCATTTAAAATAAGAAATTTAGCTTATAGTTTGCGCACACCCTGTATAGTTAGAGGGCTAAATGTATTTTACCTGGTTTCGACATGACTCGGTATGACCGGAAACAAGATTTGAAGTTTCTAAAGCCACTGTAAGTTGGAAAACTTCTAACTCACGGTCTACGTAAATCACCCTGTATATTACTTACCACTTAATTTACTGAAATCTTTAATTTTTTTATATAAAGACTTTTTGCAGGTAAAAAATATTTGGGGCATTTTTAGGAATAACTTAACTCTACACTTTTTATGATATTGTTTAACTATTTAATAAATTTTATAAAAATTTGATAAAACTAAATAAATTCAGTTTTATAAAGTAACTAAAAATGTATGTCTTTATTATTATAAATCATGGGAACAGTCAGTAAAAGAAATTCTGCTTTGCAAAGTTTCCACATTAGAGACAAATATATTTAATTATTGATAACTCTAAACACACTTTGTTAAAAACGGTTTTACTTACATATCTTAATATTTTCGTACAATGACATTTTAAATTCCTAAAGTCCCTGCGCTCCTTAGTTGGTGTATCAAAAACAAATTGTGACAACCACATGCTTGTTTGTCGATTTTTTTAGCTAAATATCCTGACACATATTTCAGTGCACCAGCTTCAACAGATTTTGCCTAAAGTTTAACATTGGTTAATACCATCGTGTAGATCTGCTTTAGTAACTCGTTTTCATCTTCTGGCAAACCCTAAAAGAGCATAGTTTTTTAGGTCTATGTAAGTAAATTGTATTTGTACATCGACAAAACATACATATTAAACCCACAAATATAAGTATATGTAGAAGTCTATCTTTCTTGCAATTATGTGCAACATAATAAAGTAAACATAGTGGAGATTAATCATCACCGTGTTTATTTCGCTTCGTACAATTCAAATGAAGTGCTTTAACCGTACACTCCTACTATACATCTCTAGCTTTGTGGGTTACTGTAAAGGAGTAAAAATAAAGTAAACAAAATTAAAATAAATCATTTTCCTTGTTCTATAAAAAATACAAACCTGGGAAACCAGTGTTTGAAGTGATAGAACAAATTTGGAGTTATCTTCTGCACAATTTGCTCCAACTGAATGAGATGACGTTAACCAATTTAATAATAAACTTTAACAGTTAACTTAAGGCAGTAACATCGGTGGCCCTTAGATTTATATGTCGATGCCCTTTTTGTGGAATTTTGCAAAATAAGTTTTAAATTGGGTCCAGGTTAAACGTTCTTGGCTCTGACTACTTTTTACATAGCAGAAGGTGGACTAGTAACACTGCTACACAATGAGAATGGCTCAATAATGGGAGGAGCCACATAACTTTGCATGGTAAGCAATTGGTTATTATGAAGTAGATGGATTATCACTCAATTGGTTAATTTGTAAGGGCACTAGAATAAAAAAAATATGTGCCATACACATGGACTACAGATAACGCATCTGCACGCAATTTTTGTATTTTATCTATATGTATTTATATTAGACTTACATGGCAAATTTTGAGATGGTTTAACACCACGTTTTAACCTTCTGTTTGGTCCAAAATCTTCACTTTTAAAATGGAGAGAGCAAACACGACAGTTCGAAAATATCTTTTCTGTGGTCATCTCAAGAAGACGCTTGTTCCCAGTCAAACAAATCCATTCGTCACATAATTCCTTATTTTTAACTGGATTTGGAAACTGGTGCTTTGAAGCAGAACTTTTCCAACAGCCGTCCACACTACAATAAATAGCTACCATCTTCCCCGTGAGTGAGTAGTCTGTTATCTTCGCAGATTAATCAACAAAGAAACGCAAAAAGATAACCTAAAAATATGACACTAAACACCTGTGGCAGGAGCAGCTAAACAAACAGCTCCAACGTTGCCGTTTAGCACGATTGGTCATGTCTAATCTAACTCCACTCTTAATCGTTGGCAGTTTAGACAAGGAAAGAACTATTTTTAGCAATAAACTGTACAACTAATAAAAGAATAAGTAATCCCCCCAGAGATGTTCTGAACCTATTAGAAAAATTAGCGTTTGTCGCTGTAAACCCAGCACAAGGGGGTCGGTCATGACCCCCATGACCCCCTCTGGATCCGCCCTTGATCTGGTAGTCAGGTGATTTTGTACCGAGGTTGCTGAAATAAAAAACAATTTTAAAACCTTTTCCTAAAAGGAGAGTTTTAACTAATATTGACTTTTTGTCTACCACAACCTTTATTCTGCATGTTTTTTATTGCACTTAGAAACAACAAACAATAAATAGTATGTCAGGGTCAGGTATACAGTATGCTCAGGAGGGTATATACTGTATCCGCCACTGATCACAATAGACACGAAAATGAATTGTATGAAATGTTCTTATAAAAGTAATATTATGTTTCAAATCAAAATCAATTCCTGGGCTTCAGTCATTTATTGTCTATTTATCACTTAAAATACGTTTCGGTGTTTTCCACCATCATCAGTTTCTCTAAAATAACATAGTAAAAAAAAA